GGCAGTATACACAAACAACAGAGGCGAACGGCAGTATACACAAACAACAGAGGCGAACGGCAGTATACACAAACAACAGAGGCGAACGGCAGTATACACAAACAACAGAGGCGACCGGCAGTATACACAAACAACAGAGGCGAACGGCAGTATACACAAACAACAGAGGCGAACGGCAGTATACACAAACAACAGAGGCGACCGGCAGTATACACAAACAACAGAGGCGAACGGCAGTATACATAAACAACAGAGGCGACCGGCAGTATACACAAACAACAGAGGCGAACGGCAGTATACACAAACAACAGAGGCGAACGGCAGTATACAAAAACAACAGAGGCGAACGGCAGTATACACAAACAACAGAGGCGACCGGCAGTATACACAAACAACAGAGGCGAACGGCAGTATACACAAACAACAGAGGCGAACGGCAGTATACACAAACAACAGAGGCGAACGGCAGTATACACAAACAACAGAGGCGAACGGCAGTATACACAAACAACAGAGGCGAACGGCAGTATACACAAACAACAGAGGTGAACGGCAGTATACACAAACAACAGAGGCGAACGGCAGTATACACAAACAACAGAGGCGACCGGCAGTATACACAAACAACAGAGGCGAACGGCAGTATACACAAACAACAGAAGCGGACGGTAGTATACACAAACAACAGAGGCGAACGGCAGTATACACAAACAACAGAGGCGAACGGCAGTATACACAAACAACAGAGGCGAACGGCAGTATACACAAACAACAGAGGCGAACGGCTGTATACACAAACAACAGAGGCGAACGGCAGTATACACAAACAACAGAGGCGAACGGCAGTATACACAAACAACAGAGGCGAACGGCAGTATACACAAACAACAGAGGCGAACGGCAGTATACACAAACAACAGAGGCGAACGGCAGTATACACAAACAACAGAGGCGAACGGCAGTATACACAAACAACAGAGGCGAACGGCAGTATACAGAAACAACAGAGGCGACCGGCAGTATACACAAACAACAGAGGCGAACGGCAGTATACACAAACAACAGAGGCGAACGGCAGTATACACAAACAACAGAGGCGAACGGCAGTATACACAAACAACAGAGGCGAACGGCAGTATACACAAACAACAGAGGCGAACGGCAGTATACACAAACAACAGAGGCGAACGGCAGTATACACAAACAACAGAGGCAAACGGCAGTATACACAAACAACAGAGGCGAACGGCAGTATACACAAACAACAGAGGCGAACGGCAGTATACACAAACAACAGAGGCGACCGGCAGTATACACAAACAACAGAGGCGAACGGCAGTATACATAAACAACAGAGGCGACCGGCAGTATACACAAACAACAGAGGCGAACGGCAGTATACACAAACAACAGAGGCGAACGGCAGTATACAAAAACAACAGAGGCGAACGGCAGTATACACAAACAACAGAGGCGACCGGCAGTATACACAAACAACAGAGGCGAACGGCAGTATACACAAACAACAGAGGCGAACGGCAGTATACACAAACAACAGAGGCGACCGGCAGTATACACAAACAACAGAGGCGAACGGCAGTATACACAAACAACAGAGGCGAACGGCAGTATACACAAACAACAGAGGCGAACGGCAGTATACACAAACAACAGAGGCGAACGGCAGTATACACAAACAACAGAGGCGAACGGCAGTATACACAAACAACAGAGGCGACCGGCAGTATACACAAACAACAGAGGCGAACGGCAGTATACACAAACAACAGAGGCGAACGGCAGTATACACAAACAACAGAGGCGACCGGCAGTATACACAAACAACAGAGGCGAACGGCAGTATACATAAACAACAGAGGCGACCGGCAGTATACACAAACAACAGAGGCGAACGGCAGTATACACAAACAACAGAGGCGAACGGCAGTATACAAAAACAACAGAGGCGAACGGCAGTATACACAAACAACAGAGGCGACCGGCAGTATACACAAACAACAGAGGCGAACGGCAGTATACACAAACAACAGAGGCGAACGGCAGTATACACAAACAACAGAGGCGAACGGCAGTATACACAAACAACAGAGGCGAACGGCAGTATACACAAACAACAGAGGCGAACGGCAGTATACACAAACAACAGAGGTGAACGGCAGTATACACAAACAACAGAGGCGAACGGCAGTATACACAAACAACAGAGGCGACCGGCAGTATACACAAACAACAGAGGCGAACGGCAGTATACACAAACAACAGAAGCGGACGGTAGTATACACAAACAACAGAGGCGAACGGCAGTATACACAAACAACAGAGGCGAACGGCAGTATACACAAACAACAGAGGCGAACGGCAGTATACACAAACAACAGAGGCGAACGGCAGTATACACAAACAACAGAGGCGAACGGCTGTATACACAAACAACAGAGGCGAACGGCAGTATACACAAACAACAGAGGCGAACGGCAGTATACACAAACAACAGAGGCGAACGGCAGTATACACAAACAACAGAGGCGAACGGCAGTATACACAAACAACAGAGGCGAACGGCAGTATACACAAACAACAGAGGCGAACGGCAGTATACACAAACAACAGAGGCGAACGGCAGTATACAGAAACAACAGAGGCGACCGGCAGTATACACAAACAACAGAGGCGAACGGCAGTATACACAAACAACAGAGGCGAACGGCAGTATACACAAACAACAGAGGCGAACGGCAGTATACACAAACAACAGAGGCGAACGGCAGTATACACAAACAACAGAGGCGAACGGCAGTATACACAAACAACAGAGGCGACCGGCAGTATACACAAACAACAGAGGCGAACGGCAGTATACACAAACAACAGAGGCGAACGGCAGTATACACAAACGACAGAGGCGACCGGCAGTATACACAAACAACAGAGGCGAACGGCAGTATACATAAACAACAGAGGCGACCGGCAGTATACACAAACAACAGAGGCGAACGGCAGTATACACAAACAACAGAGGCGAACGGCAGTATACAAAAACAACAGAGGCGAACGGCAGTATACACAAACAACAGAGGCGACCGGCAGTATACACAAACAACAGAGGCGAACGGCAGTATACACAAACAACAGAGGCGAACGGCAGTATACACAAACAACAGAGGCGAACGGCAGTATACACAAACAACAGAGGCGAACGGCAGTATACACAAACAACAGAGGCGAACGGCTGTATACACAAACAACAGAGGCGAACGGCAGTATACACAAACAACAGAGGCGACCGGCAGTATACACAAACAACAGAGGCGAACGGCAGTATACACAAACAACAGAGGCGAACGGCAGTATACACAAACAACAGAGGCGAACGGCAGTATACACAAACAACAGAGGCGAACGGCAGTATACACAAACAACAGAGGCGACCGGCAGTATACACAAACAACAGAGGCGAACG